CTGGGTTCGATCCCTGGGTTGGGAAGATCCCCTGGAGAAGGGAAAGGCTACCCACTCCAGTATTCTTGCCTGGAGAGTTCCATGGACAGAGGAGACTGGTGGGCTCCATAGGGTCACAAAAAATCAGACACAACTGAACGACTAACCCATAGGGTTGCAAAGAATTGGACACGACTGAGTGACTAACACACATACACATAGCACTGGTCACAGTCTAAAATTATCTTTGGTATCTATTTGTTTCATGGTACCCAGCCTGTCTTTTTCAACAGTATGTAAATTTTATGAGAGCAGTTATTATATCTGAACTGTACAGCTTCTAGAATGTTCCCTGGCAGAGATTATGTGTTGGACACCTGAACCAGGCGCTCTCCGACCACCTAAGGCTGAATTCAGCCTCAGACCACCACCATGGGCAAGTCTGGGCTGGCAGAGGGCAGTGGGCATCGAATCCCGGGCTCGCTTCGAAGCCCCACCCTCCCTGTGACTGTGCCCTGCACCCGTCCAACCTCTCTCCACAGGCTGCCCTGGCTTCATCTTCTTGACTCTGTCTACTTTGTGCATTTAGCCATAGGACTTTCAGCCCAGCCCCTCTACTTCTGGAAACCTGCTCTCGACAACCTCATCTTATCCCCCAGACACTGGCTTTCTGGAACCCTTTTCTCTCCTCACAGCAAATCTTCCTCTCCTTCCTGCCCCTTGCCCCCAGCAGGAATCACAGTTCCTGCCATCAAAATCACCCTCTCAGAGCTGCATGGGAAGAGTCACTTCATCCTAGGCCTTCCTGATCAGCCCACTGGACAAACCAGAGCAACTGAGAACACGATGGGCACACTTCCAACTCACAGATCTCCTGCCCTCCCTGTGAGGGACAGACATCTTTCCCATAAGCTCGCGCATGCGGACACGCCGCCCGGACACACACGCCTACCCGTCCACTCCAGGCCCTCCCACAGTCCTCCTCCGAGGCCACCTCCCCCCGGCCAGTTCCCTCTATCTCCTCCCTCTTAAACCATCAAACTCTTTGAAAGAGCTGTCTACACATGCTCTCTCCACGTCCTCACCTTCTGCTTGCTCCTCAACCTACTCCAGACTGAATTCCATTCTCACCAATTCATTCATTCATTCATTCATTCATTCATCAACAACATACCCAGCACCACATTCGCTGGGTGCCAAGGGGGACATTTCTGTGGTCAAGGTCACCAGCACCCTCACAGTCGCGCAATCCAATGGACACTGGTTTTTAAATTATGCATTCTCTTTCATCTCTCCACGAGCTTCTCAGAATGTATCTTAACTCTCCCTGGCAGAATCAGGAGACTCCCGGGACACGTGCCCTCCGTGCTTGCTGTGACACCTCCCACTGCTGGCTCCCCTCCCACCGCCCTGACTGCTCCGTCCCAGCCTCCTCTGCAGACTTCTCCAGCCTCAACTGTTGCAGTGCCTCAGGGCTCTCTGGACTCAACTCTCTTTTCTCCCACCCTCTTCTCCACATTAGGATTGCCCTGGTGCTTCCAAAACTAGTGATGCCTGGGCCTCACCTCTAAGTTGAATGAACTAAAATTTCTGGGGGTGGAGCCTGGGCATAGATTGATTTTGTTTAAAAAGCTTTCAAAGTGATGCTAATATCATCAGAGTTGAGAACCACTGGTCTGCATTCTCACTGGACAAAATCTAATTAATACTGCCACGGCCCCAACAACCAGCCTCTGTGGATGATTCCAAGTTTCTGCCTCCAGCCCAAATCTTTTTTCCTAGAACCTCAACCTTTCCCTCCAACTGACTGTAGAATGTTGGCATCTCCCTGGAACTACTATAGGTTCAGATCAGGACCCTGAAACATTCATCACCTTCTCCTTGGTTCTACATCAAGCAGATCAACCCAAATTCTACTCACCCATCCTCCCCTCACAGTGTGATATGGCAACAGTGAACCTCATTAGTGAGCAACTGAAGGTAGGGGTGGGAGAGCGGCATATCCCTTAACAGGGAAGGAAGTTGGAACACCACAAGTTCTATCACCTGTGGTCATCTCCCTGTCCCTCTCCTTCAGCTGAAAAACTTCTGACGGTGCCCACGGTCTGCACTGGACAGGTAGTACAATGCAAAGCTGTTAGACTGACACCTGGGCTCACACTCAAGTCCCGCTACTTGGTAGATGTGTGATGGTGAGCACGTTACTTCACCTTTCTGGGCGTTCAGTTTCAACATCTGCAAATTGGTCCTTATTATGGTCTCTGCCTCCAGGGTTGATTCAACGATTCAGCAAGATGAGTCTTATAAAGCGCTTAGTGCTGTGCCTGGCTGGCAGAAAGCACTCAGTGAATGTTAGCTATTTTTAGTACCATTACTGAGGATAAATTCCCAATTCCTGAGCGGAGCTCACAAGGGCCCCCGTGACTTGTGACCTTGGCTTTAGCTTCCACTCTTGTCTTCTTCATACCATGGGACCCGCTGGGTCCCATGAACAACTGCACTGTTTCACATCTCTATGCTTTTGTACATGCTAGACCTGATGGCTAGACTGCACCTTCCCCACCTAGAAAACTCCTATTCATCCTTCAAAATCCAGCTGGAGAGTTATTTTTGTTAGATAGATACCCTTGACTTTCCTGGCCAAAGATAATCACTCCTCTTTTGAGTGGAGTGGGGATACACTCCTATGGCTGCACACTTTTCCAGTAAGCTTCCCAAGGGTCAGCAGGAATCAGCTTCCTATGAGCAGAACCGAGACTGCTGTTCACCACTGTCCCAGGCTGGCCCCAGAATTCCCTGCTCCTTGGATTCCCTGAACACCAGCCTCCTGTGCTCCCAGACTCCCACCCCTCTCTGGCACTTCCCACCACTACTCCGAGTTCCATCTTCATGTTGAGTGAGTCAATCCTGGAAATCTTCCAGAGGACCTTCAGGCACCACAGAGTCAGGACCAAGTCCCCCAAAGCCACAGCAGCTGGCTGCACCACACTGGCCTTGGCACCCCAGGGCCAGTTCCCTTTCTGCTCAGATTCTCTGGGATCAGTCCTAGATCAATTCGGCTCTCAGAAAGTAGATCTCAAGGCATCTTCACCCTGAGTGGGGCCCCCAATCCACTGATTTCCCAGGTGACCTTGGATTAGTCCTTGACCCACTCTCAGCCTCAGTTTCCCCCCACCCTGGCACGATGTGATGATGATGATAGGGTTGGATTTAAAGTTCACTGAGGCTCATTTCCGCACAGGACTGGACATTCTGGTATAAAAGCTATGTTCCCGACTCTGGCAGTTCTCTGACCCGACCCGACCCTCACTCCTGTGACTGCAGCAATGCTTTAGCTATCAGCCTGTGCCGCTCTCGTCCCACCTTCCGGCTCCATTACCTCCCACTCTCGTGCACTTGCCCAGGGCTAATGGGGAAAGGCTGATGGCAGCAGCAGGGGCCTGGGCTTCTGATGGCGGGGCCTCTGCCACTCAGGGTCCCTCTGGATCCTGAAGGGCCGTGGGGACCACGGAGAGGGGAGACGCGCTGTGGCATGGTGGGCTCATGTGCAGTGCCTGTCTCCACCGGAAGGTCTAAGCTCTCTGTGGAGGTGCCTGGGGTCTCAGCAGGATGGGAGGAAACAGCTGAGGGGATGGAATACTAGCCTAGAACCCCAAGAGGAGACTGATCCCATCACCCCTGCTGGTCTTAAGCACTAAGGAGAGAAGATGACTCCTGCCACAACCTCGGCCATGGCTTCCGGATTCGGCTGCGCGCTGACCTCCAACAGGTGTTTGCAAGGCAGGCCTAAGCCAGCGCCTGGTCCCCAGCATTCCCCTCACCACGAGCACTCTCCATATATCCAGCCCCCACAAGGTTAGGAACCTCTGCTTCCTCCCAGGGCGCCACCAAAGGCGATCAAATAACATGTAGAAAACGGCCTTCCGTCAGGGCGCTTGGATCTGCCCGGTCAGAGCGAAGAGGGCAAAGAACTCACCCGACCCCAGCGCACAGTCTCCCCTAGAGAGAGCCCACAGAGATCTCTCCGCAGTCAGGGCTCACAGAGACCAGATGTGTCCCCGTTTGGGCGTCAAGAGGGCACAGAGATCTTTTTATGGTCGGAGCACGCAGAGATAGGACACACGACATACATCTTTTCCTTTCGGGGTGCACAGAGATCTATCCCCGCAAGACCCGCAGAGATCTCACCCCAGAGAGGACAGCCCCGGCGGACTGCTCCGCAGGGCCCAGAGAAAGGGGAGTGCATGGCCCCTTCATTCCCAGCCCTGCGCGGTCAGTTCCCCCGCTCTCTGGAGTCACACTCACTGCCCTCCTAGTCGCTGTTCTGNGACACTGGCTCCCCAGCGGGCTTGGGGCCCCAGGCTGGCTCCGCCCCAGAGCGACGCGCCCCGGACTCCGCACGTGGCGCTCCGCCCGCTCTGAGGGTGAAGTCCTGGGCACCCGCCGGGGCGCACACCCCCGCGCTGACCTGGGGGCGCCCCGCCACAGAAAGCGGCCCACGCGGACACGACAGACGCGCGCAGACCCGGCACATGCGGGGGTACACACATAGCTACCCGGAGACGCTTTGCCACCGCCACCTACGCCTACGCGGACAGGCAAGGTGCGCACTCACACATGCTCACTGACCTGGGGACCCTACCACAGCCCTCGCCTCTGTGGACACGGACAGACGCTGACATTCGCAGACACCCGCTGTCATAGACACTCACAGACACCCACACGGACACAGGCAGACACATCACTGACACACACAGACACTGAGGCAGACACAGTGTGACAGACTCAGGGACACCTGCATGACTCAGAGACACACATCCACTGACACAGTGACACAGAGACACACACAGAAAACCACAGTCTCCTGGAGACACACGCACACACACAGCACAGAAGTCTGCCCGACGGGGGACGCTTATCCCGACACACTGGTACTGACAGAAACACACCCAGACCGGAAACGACCAACACAACAGACACAGCCAGCACCGGGACACCCACCCTGAAACAGACACACTCACTTCACCCTGTTGATCTACAGGGAACTTCCACCTTGACGCACCCGTAGGCACTCACAGGCCGACACTGGGACAGACTGTCTCTCACACGGATGCAGAGACCCGCACACTGACTAGTATGCTCATTCACACACACAGGCTGACCCACAGGGAGACACACCCAGGAACACACACATCCTTGTTTAAAAGAAACAGGCCACCAGTTTTTGCCCACAGGCCAGAAACATCTTTGGAAGGGACTGGGCTATTGCCCAGAGTCAACACAGGAGCACACGCATAAACACACACAGAGATGCACAGTCTTTGTCTTCTTCCCCAGCAGCCTTCTAATCTCTCCTGACATTTTTTTTCAACGCTCCTAAATGTAAATAGCGCTTTCAGAGGGCACCCAGGTGCTGTGTTTGGGAGCTAGAAGCTGTGACTTGCCTCTCCATTTTTGGGATCTTGGAGACATCACCAGGGGGCCATCCTCCATTTGGGACCTGAGTGTGGGGCTCCAGGGATCACTGGTGCCTTACCTATATACTGACGAGCTATCTGTCCCTACAGAAAGTCAGTCTGAAGGAAAGTTCAGGACACAGGACCCTTTCTGGCCCTGGGTCTGATAGGGTGGCTGGCGCCAGACAGATAAACCACATTCCGGCCTCCTGCTTCTGGTCCCCTGATGGGTCTCAGGTAGGCCAGCATCTCCCACTAGCGGCCAGAGAGGGAAGTGCAGACAATGTCAATTTTTAGCACCACCTGACCCCATGCCTCCTAGGTGGGAGGAGAGGGCAGCAGAACCTAGGTCCTCCCTGAGGTTTTCCACCAGGCTTCTGGAACCCCAGAATGAAGGTTCAAACTTGCAAAGGAACGTCAGGCCAAGCAGGAGACTCAGAACAGAGGTTGCTGCGGGGGTGGGCTCAGACAGACTCCGTGCTTCATCTACATCTAGCAGAGGTGGGCTTATCAACACTCCTCCTTATGGTGGGCACCTGGATTTTGCTTGCAGGAGAGGTATGCACCCCAGATTTAAACAAGGGCAGAGAAGCTCATTAGAAGGAGGGGGGAAAGCTCTGATTCGGTTCAGATTCAGAGATTCAGCTAACATATCTGGTGGTCGGAGAGTGGAGGCAGAGGGCAGGAAAGGTTAATGGACCAGAGACAGGGCACCTCCCCCAAGGAGCCCTTGTCAAGATCTGGGAGACTCCCTTCTCTTTGCCAGACCCCATTTAATGTAAGCAGGAACATGCAATTGGCAGAGAACAATCCCAGGTTTTAAAAACTGTTGCCTTTATTCCGCTCTTCCCCCTAACTGAGGTTCCCAGTTGGGTTAAGCGCTTTGTCGTTGTGCATCCACAGAGGATTCCTTCCCCTCTTGTATAACCTCCTTTTATTTCTCCTCCCTGCCACCACCACGTTGCTGTCAGCTCCCTCCCCAAACAGGAGCCCTTCATTATAGGTAGGTCTTTAAATATGTACACATCTTTGTAAAATATGCAGTATTGTTGTTTGTGCCTATGGATTTTCATATGCTTTTACTGCCCCAGCATTTGTTTTGTTTTGTTTTACTTCTATTGAAACTACATACGGAAAAGTGCACAAACCCGAAGTGTTCAGTGCAAGAGTTGTTAAACCCTGTTAGCTGAACCCATCCCTATAGACAGCACACAGGTCAAGAAACGAAACGGCAACTGCACCCCAGACATCCCCTTCCTGCCCTCTTCCTGTCACCAGCACTTCTGGGCTTAACTACTTACTCACAGCCAATTCCCTAGGTTAGTTTTGCTCAGTTCTGGTATTTATTTAACTAGCCTCAGACAGTACAAATGCTTGTGTCTGGTTCTTCTGATTAGGTTTGTGAGCTTCATCCCTGTGGCTGCTTGTAGTCATATATATATAGTATATATATAGTTTGTTTGTTCTCATTGCATAGAATTCCACTCTGTGAATACCCACACTTTATTTATCTGCTCTTTGGCTGACGGGCATTTGGTGGTTCTAGCTGGAGGTTACTACGACTAGCACTGCCATGAGCGTTCCAGGGTGTGAGTTTCAGTGGCCATCTCTGTGCATTTCTGCCAGGGGCCTACCTGGGAGTGGCGTTGCTGGGCCATGGGAGGGAGTGTGCTCACTTTTAGGAGACACGGCCAAATAGTTTTCCAAAGTGGTTCTACCAACATACTCCACCAGTGGTGAATGTATAGAGAATTCTGGTTCATCTGCATCCTCTCGCACTTGGTATTTTTGTCATTTTCATTTTAGCCACTTGAGTGGGTGGGAAGAGGTTTCACATTGTGGTTTTAATTGGCATTCCCCTGATGACTAATGAAATGGAGCATTTTTCATGGTTTATTGGCCATTTGTGTGTATGTGCTTTCCATTTATATAAAATGGGTATTGTTCTAACTTTCATTCTTTTTCTTATGTTTCTCCCTTAATGCTGTGCTTTTGAGCTCTATCCATGTTTTGGTGTGGGCAGCTAGTTCTTGGCTTCTGATAGCTGCAGAGTGTTCTGTGTTATGCACCCACCGAGTTTTATTTATCCAGTCCCCTCTAGAGGGATGCTAGGTATGGTTGAAGATGGAAGAGTAGTAACTGGCTTGTGTTTCTGTTGGCTTCACTCTGCTGATGCCTGAGGTAGGGTGGGGGGAGGTGAAGAAGCAAGCTGATTCAGGGTTCAGAATCCACTGGCACTTAGCACTAGGCATCTTAGAAGGCGGAGATGCAGGTTGGGGCTAAAAACAGGAGGTGTGGGGGGAAACCGCACACAAAAACCCATAGCTCAGGTAGATGCCTCCTCCCTACCTCCCCAAGCTAAAGGCTGATCCTTCCCCATCCACTCAACTACCTCTGGCTCTGAGAGAGGGCATCTAGCAGGAGTAGGAAGCCTTACTGTGAGTAAAGGATCTACTGAGATCTCTGGATCTCTCTGCTAGGTGCCATAACTCTGGCAAAAGACTGAGGAATTCCGCATGAGAAAATGACCAGCCCAAGAGAAAAGACCTCTGATCCTGGGCACCTACCCAGTCTCGTCCACTGGAAGCCCTGCCATCTGGGAGTTGTGCTCCCTCCACATTCATTGCCATCTTCCTTCTCCTTTGCCTGTCTCCCCTGTGAAGGCTGGACAAGCTGAGTATTTGCCTGTCCAATTTTCCCTATAGCTGGGGCTGGCCACGTGCTTCTATAACGGCCTGGAGTCATAAGCAAAGCTTTGCTGGGGAAGGGCGGATCCTGGGAAATCATTTCCTCTCCTGATAAAAGAGGACAGGAGCAGGGGGGTGAGCTGTCTTCCTTCTCCCCCTTCCTCCTGCCTCGAATGAGGGCACGATGCTTGGAGCTGATTAAGCCATCATGTGTCCATGCAGGAAAGGCCAGGAGATTTGGAGCGGTTGGCCCCAGTGATCATGATCCCCAGAGCCCACACCTCCATATTTCTTTCACCCCCTGTATAGACAGACGAAACCAGATTCTCTCTTATTTGCAACCAGGTTGTGTTGAATGGGGAGGGATCTGGAAACCCAGGTGCTGTTAATACAAACCGTACACCAGCTCTCTTGTTTTTGGCCTCACCTCTCCTTCCTGCTTGCAGAGGTACCTAGTGTCTGAGTTCTAGAAATATTCCAGGGTTTTGAGGTGGAGGAGTTCTTTGCACTCCTTGGCACGCCTCCTTTGGCAGGCTCTTTGAATTCAACCTTCCCCCTCTGAAGTCAGTTACCATTCACTACTTCCAAAAAGTTGTTATCATAGCTGCTGTTGCTTCCTCTTCCAGACATTTTGTCCTTGTAGGGAGGGTTCATGTCTTTTAAAATTGTTTCGGTATAATTTTAGTGAAATTTTAAGAGGTGTCTTCAGTCCACTATATTTTGAAGGAAGTCCTCCATATCAGTTTCTCCTCCAGATAAGTTTAAGTAGCAATCACATGGTACCCTTGTGGGTTGTCAGCATTCTCTTTGGAAGGGGCTTTGCTTATAGTCAAGGGCAAGGACACGTGTGCTAAGTCGCTCAGTCATGTCTGACACTTTGCAACTCCATGGACTGCAGCCCACCAGGCTCCTCTGCCCACGGGGATTCTCCAGGCAAGAATACTGGAGTGGCTTGCTGTTCCCTTCTCCAGGGGGTCTTCCTGACCTAGGGATCGAACCCAGGTCTACCACATTGCAGGCAGATTCTTTACCGTCTTAGCCACCAGGGAAGCCTAAGAATACTGGAGTGGGTATAGCCTATCCCTTCTCCAGGAGATCTTCCTGATCCAGAAATTGAACTGGGGTCTCCTGCATTGCAGGCAGATTCTTTACCAGCTGAGCTACCAGGGGATGGTGACCTGATTCCCCCTTTATACCTAGGTGAAGGACAGGCTAACACTTACTGGGGGACCATTGTCAGCTGGGACCTGCTGGGTCCTACATGTACCTTCATCCCTAGTCATAACCAGCCCCTTACCTCTGCCAGCTCCCAGCCCAAATGATGCCAGTCTTCAAATGAAGAGCCGCCCCTTCCTCCAGACACTCGACTGCCATCTGCTGGAGAATTGAGAGAAAATAGGCGTAAATCTCTGATGGCTAAGAATGTTCATTTTGCCCCCAAATTGTGTGAAGCACAACTGTACGTCTCCGGCTGCTCCTGCCTCCACCTAGACCATCTCTTCATCATAAACTCTTGTCCCTCACACATCAGCTCTGACCAGTGTAGTGAACTAGAGATCCAGGCTTGGAGGGTGGGAAGCTCAGCTCAGATCAATTACTATTGTCCACGCAAACTTGGATGACACACACACCCTTTCCAGACTTTACTCATATACAGAGTGAAATAACTATATACCCACCCGACTGAGTCGCTGAAAGGATCAAATGAAACAACATGTGAGAACTACAATAAATATTTCACAGGCTGAACTTGGCATTCGTACTGACTGAAGCCTGTTCAGCCTTTGCCTTCGGTTGGGTTCCCTGGAACCACTCTGAGATGGAGGTTTTCATGTATGAGGTTTCTAGGGAGTGGACTGGGGATCAACGTCTGTGAGGATGTGAGGGAGCAGGGTTGGGCGGAGGAGACACTGAACTCCAACGCAGCCGCAGCAGAGGCTTCAGCCAAAGGCCACAGGAGACTCTGGA